GCTGTGATGACTCATGGTGTTCTCTCTTGTCTTTAGATACCAGCCTGTTGATATCATTCAACCAACCAATCATGTATTGCCAGCCTCATTCGGGGATTCTGATTGGTACTTTGTCACAGGCATCTCTCTTACCTCCACCAATGAGTCCTCACGTAGAAAACCACCACAGCATGACCTGCAGAAACAGGGAATGCCAGGTGAATATTGACTCTTTCTCCTCCGTCTTTGTGGTACTCACAGGCCCACGGGCCTCTGTGTCTTTTTTTTTTCTCTCTCTCTCTCCTCTAGATCACGAACTGCTCAGGCAAGAGCTGAACAACCGGTTTTTGGTTCAGAGTTCGGACCGGGCCGCTGCCTCACTTGGCCCGGTGCCGCTGCTGAGAGCGGAGTTTCACCAGCACCAACACACGCATCAGCACCAACACACCCACCAGCACACATTCACTCCTTTTCCATCCAGCTTGCCCCAGACGCCGCTCATGCCGCCCTCTGCACCTCCCATGGTGCGTACCCCAGCCCAAAATGTGAGGATAAGTAGAGCATCTCTGGTCAAAAAGCCTAACCCGCTCTTGTCAAACAAAACCCAGTCCTCTTCATTTCAGCCAGGCGTGCTGTCTGTGCCCGTCTGACCTGGAGGCCTGGAGAGACAGGCCCAGCACTCCCCAAGGGACCCCTTTTCCATCCAGAGTCCCCATACTGAGCCTCCAGGTCCCCCACGCTGCTACCCATGAGCAGACACCGCACCCATGAGACAAGTCTAGAGTCCCTTTAGTTTCCCTTTCCATGTGACCTGCTGTGCATTTCTATTCCCCCTTTCCCAGAGCCAGGTTCCGTCACACACCAAAAAACACTGACGAGGACACCACAAGATCAGGGGCCTCCAGTCCCAAATGCCATCCCCCCAACTGTTCGTTGCGGGGCAGACCCTACTTGCTTACCCAGAGCTCTCATCATGGTGCAGCATCTCATCTGATATGAGTTTTGTCCCTCTTCCTCCTAATTCCCTAATCTGTATCAATTTTGGCATTTATTGTTTGATTACATCAACAAGAACTAATTTGTGTGTGGCTGGTTCTTCTTGTGGGAGAGATCCTCCTGGCCATGTAATAAGCATTAGCGTTTTGCCATTGAATTTGCTTGTAACACAATGGGACTTTGCTGCAGCTGTGACGAAATTGTTGAGAGATCTGCTACAAATGGATTTTGTCAGTACTTTAAAACACACTCTCTCCCCATTTCTGGCAGTTACTTTGTGAGACTGAAACAACTAGATTCAGCTTTTTTCCCCCCTCTCAGTTTCACACCGTGTCCGAAATGTAGAAACAACCCTTTTCTGCTAAGGCTAGCAAAAGCCAGGCGCAACAGCAAAAGCAGCGTTTGGGAAGAACTACCAAGAACTCAAGGAGCATAATGTTTCTCACTTTTCTTTCCGACTGCTGACTGCCTGATGACTTTCTTGGGTTGTAATCTGCTTAGCAGCGAGACAATTAAAAGTAATATCATCTGCCCAAAATCCAGCCCCAGGTGTTTGCTCAATGTACTCGTGTGTAAACACCTTCCCTTCTTTTCTTGGTCTGTGTAAAACAATCTTGAAACTTTTCTCAGAGACCTCCTGTGTTATTTAAGAACCCTGTTATCCGATCCTGCAAAGAGCTCCCTCCCCTCCCACCCCTGCCCGTTGATGTCAGCCTTCATAGCAAAAACAGCTTGCAAGGCTCTTTTGTTATATTTCACTCACATCTTCTTATATTCCACTAGATCAGGTCTTCTAATCCCAACACCAGAGAAGAGTGTTGAAATTTACAGCTGCATGTGTTTGGTAATTTATGGTATTTACACTGGAGGGGACATGGCTCCAGTAATAACTGTAATTAATGAAATTACAAATCTACTCTCCTGCACGTAGAGGAGTGTGAAACAGCAGCTGACTTGCCAAATAAGCAGCTTTTCATGGGGTCCTACAGCTCCCTTCCCTGCCTTCTTCCCCACTACCTCCTCCCCAGAAGAATGTACATACTGTTCAAAAATGCAATGTATATATGCTTTGGTTTTGCTTCCAAGGTGGTACAGGACAAATGGTCATAAAAATAAATATGGGGCACAGACTGCACACATGGAGGTATTAAAACCCCATGCCGGAACAGAAAAGGTTAACAATCACCTTTTCTCTGGCGTGCTGTCTTTTGCAGGGAAGGGGGAATATATACAGATTTGTGCATCTAAAGCAATTAAGCCCTTTTCCAAACGATTTTGGCACTTGCAGGAACCCAGAAAACGGGGAATTGGTATTGGTTGCCCCACAGTAGATGTTGGGGTCTAATGGAAAGTGTTCCCTACCTTCTAGTCTGTGCTCTCATTCAGTGCTCCAGGAGCAGATCCCAGATCTAGACCTGGAGCTGAACTTCCTTGCGTTTCTCTGCGCTGCAGATTATCAGGACTGCTCTCTTCGTAGTGAAGGAACCTCTTCACATAGTGCCTGCAAACAGGGCTCTGCAGAGAGACTCGGCAGCACCCAGCGCAACCCAGGGGCTAGTGCCTTTCCACCTCTGTTAGCTTTGGGAAATCAGTCAGCTCCCTGGTGAGCGAGTACCAAACAACCAGTCAGTTCTGCTCTGTGAAATGCTGTACAAACGGGCCATGATTATTTGTCTGTGTTGAAATCCTGATGTGTCTGCTACTGCCGAAACCAAACTCACATCTTTCTTTTTTTTCTCTTTTCTTTCCAGTTTGACAAGTACGCTCCCAAATTAGACAACCCTTACTTTCGACATTCCAACGTGAGTGCTCACCTTTTTTAGGTGGTGTCTTTGTTAATGGTTCTGCTTGCACTTCTTTTGCTTGTTTTCGATTGATCAGTAGTGTTTGGATTCATTCATTCCTAAAGCTCTTTTTCTGTCTTGATAGGTTTGTTTTTTTTTAAGGTACAAAATTTTCTTTGAGCTTTTTTTTTTTTAAAAAAAAAATCTTTGTCTACTGCGTTTTTGCTGCTGCGGCTCTATATTGCTGTGCCTGGAATGGCAGGGAATGCGCAGAAATTGCTGAATCAGTGGTCATTGCAGTATCTTTGCAGCTGGTGCTTCTCACAGTGCAGCAGCCCGGAGTGCATGGCTCTTTCACAAGATTTTGCTCAGGTCACAGGAGTAAGTCAGACTGGTGGTTTCTTCCTGGTGCTCCCCACTGCTCCAAAGCACAAAAACTGTATGTTTGGGGACTTGTCAAACTGCTGTATGTGCTCAGGAGAGGCCTAAGCAAAACTTAACCCAACCTACACAACTACAAGGTGGTGTGCATGTTGCCTGTGGTTAATGTGCAATGCAGCATCTTGTGGTTCTTTTTTGCTTTGAAAATTACAGCAGGTCACATTTCAAAACTGGATTAATTTGCTACTGCAGAAAAATGCAAAGTTAATGAAAAGTGAACATAAAACTCAAATTATTCCGATTCCCCTAAAAATGGTGAATGCTCTGTGCTTCCTGCAATAGCCCACAAATTTTAAAGGCACACTTGTTCAGCACTACAAAATTCATCAGATGAGCGCATTTTCCAAGTTTTGATTTTGCTCTTAAAAATTGAAAGCAAATTTAGTGTGTATTTTCACTGTGGCACTCATTCAACACAGTAGTATTTTTGTATGTGCCAGTCTTGGCACCTACCTCCATTATTGTTCAAGTTGTCCTGTGACATAAGCATCTCTTTTTCTTTTGTAGTTCTTTCCAACCTATCCTCCAGCAATGCCTGGAATGCCACCCATGCTTCCACATTCAGGTCCCTTTGGGTCACTTCAGGGAGCATTTCAACCGAAGGTACAAACTTCTTCTTCTGAAGGCTTTGTTCTTTTGCTGGGAGAGAAACTGTATTCAGAGTCCTGTCTCTGGTGATTTTGTGGCACATGATTTAACTAGCAGAAGTGCAGCACAGGGTTGGAAGTGATCACCCTGCAGATCTGTGAGCGTCCTCTGCACAAAGCAGCCAACACTTTAGCAGAAATTTTCTCTTGGCACTACAGATTGTTCCTTGGAAAAGGATATAGTGGTTCAGTTGAGAGGTCAACTGAAACTGGAGGAGAAGCATACAGTCAAATGCATTATTTGATTGAAATATTTACAACTAGTAACAGGCCAATGAGTCCCAAATAGTTTTATAAATTTAATGGTCTGAGATTGCAAAAGGTAAACTCTGTTTATCCCCAGAAAAAAAAAGAGAAATTGACTGTACAAGTGTGGGAACAATAGGGAGAGACTGCTGTAAATGGGTAGAGCAATTTGAAGGAGCTGAATTTTTATTTGCAGCTCCGACACTGTTTGACCTGAGTCAAGTCGCTTAAATCTTTGGTTCCTCAGCTTCCTCATCTATAAAGTCATCTTGCAGTGGGTTTTATAAGGGCTGATTAATGCCTGCAAGCTTCTTTGAGATAGTGTGTTTGAAAGGTGCACTGCAACTGTAACATATCATTACAACTAGCACTGATTGGCATTTGGAAATGTTGCCATGATAACCACCATTTTTGATGAATTCTGCGGTGTGCACTGCGGGTTTTTTTCTTCCCAAATATGTTCTTTTTATTAACTATTTTTAAATGTACAGAAACTGTTAAATCTCTCCAAACAAGAAATACACATTATATCCATATAGTGTTTGTTTTAAAATGGAGCATTTACTCCATTTGTAAGGTGACGTGTTTAGCTTCCTTACACACTCTGATTTTGGAGATTCCTTATCTTGAACTGCATTTCCATAGAGCTCTGCTACTGTGTTGGAAGACCTGAAGGACCAGCACTGTAGCCAGGCCGTTTCTGTTTGCATTTGGAAGGTCGTTTCCGTAACCATGCCAAGCAGGGCTGTGGGCTGTGCTTCCCTCGGCAGTCTGACTGACATCAGTGGAAGTCAGTAATTAGCAGCTGCTGCAAATAAGGCCTCTTACAACCTTCCCACTTAATTTTTTTAATGGAAGTTGGAGTATTTCCTCAGCGCCCATCGAATCCCTTACATTATTTTCTGCATACATTACAAATAGCAAAGTCTCTAAATGGCTTTTTTCAACAAGAGTTCTCTATGTAGTGGCTACAGGCATAGAAGACGAGCAGTTGCATCTAAGCAGAGGGAGCAAGAGGGACAGAGCATAGCTATCCCTTGATGGAGTTTGTCCCCGTGTTAATTGTTCCTGTCCTCGCAAGGGATGCCAGGGAGTCCCTACAGACCCCAAGTTGTCAGGATATGAACTTGACTTTCCAAGAAAAGGAGCTGCACAAATAAGACGGAATTGGCAAAATATTGCTAATGTGAAGATAGGGTTAAGTTTTGCCATAAGGCTACTTACTGTTAATGAGGAGGTTCTGATACACCGATAGCATGCTCTTCTGGTTTCCATCTTCATTACAGAGCTTTATAGATACCATCTCACTGCAAAATACCATTAGGCGAAAGACAAGCAGTTACATAGCGAGAAAGACAAAGTGAGCACAGACCCTTTACATTTTTAAACGGTTCTTAGTGCTGTATTATAACTAGCTTTTAATTCATTTTAATGATAGATACATAGAGCATTTGCTAGCTTGAGTTTTAGCAGCGCAAGGTCACACTCTGGTGCCATGGTTAATCACTAACATCACTTGATCTGTGGATGGTGCTGTATTTACATGCAATCTAACACCTGAAAAAAAGAGGGATAGGTTGAAAAATGGATCTGCCGCTTTGGCACATTATTTTCCAGTTTCCTAGAGGAGACAGAGCTGAACTGCTAGGCAAAGCCGCTCTAGTCATCATTACTGCATCATTTTTCCATGCTCTCTCCCTCCCAAGCTGTTTGACTAAAGCCTTCATAATCACAACAGACCTGATGATTTGGTTTTGGCACGCTGAATCCTGCACTTCTTGCTTTCCAAAGCAGAGGTCTTGGTTTTGTTTTTCCCCTTCCCATGTCAGTTGCCTACAGCTGTGCCTGTAAATCCACTGCACATAAATCCAGGCTGACGGTAAACTTCTCAGTGAGTTTCCCGAAGGCCATTTCTCACAAGCTAAGGACTTGAAAAGGTCAGAAGTATTCGGTTTACTTTGCTGGAGGAAGCATTCACATCTTTCTCCAGGGGACAAAGGGACAGGATGACACCATGCTATTAACATGTTGTGATCTTAAAGCTCTTGCCTGTATGATAGCTGTAACTTATTTGCCACCTTATATATACCTCAGCTGTCAGACAGGCCCTGAGAGCACAGATCTGCCTGGGGAGTTCGTTGACTTACCTACACACAGACATGAGAATTCTCTTTTTAATGAGTCTGGAAGTTACATAGCCTGAGACAAATTAAAACCTATCTTTCCTCCCACACCCATGATTATACTCATGCCTTGTACAGTTTGACTGTTTGAAATCTACTGTAATTTGACCTAAAATGTGAGTGAAATAATCTCTTGGGGAATGAGGTTTAACCCCTCTGCACTCAGCTGCGTGGAGGCACCAGGTGCAGTTGCTCTGGGAGTGGGAGGTGGATGAACGCCAGAGTGAGAAGATGAACGAGTTCTTGGGGATCGTCTAGGACAGGGCAACAGGTGGGATCCGGAGGAGGAGGAGGGACAGGGATTCATTCAATGAGGTGTTTAATTCTTGCTGGAAAATGATGGGATAAACAATGCAACGCTATAAAAGACGCACAAGCACCTTCTAAGGTTTCTCATGTGCCTTGTCGAAGCAAATAGATGGGCTGTTGCCGTTTTAGCCATTGTGTCATCTAGCCCCAGTCAGAGAGGGGCCACAGTCCGATAGGTGGAAAGGGGGACTGGATGCTTGCGTTATTCTGTTCCTGACCACTCTACTGGTTGCTGCCTGAAACATCGAGGGAGTCCGTCCACCTCTCATTCCCTCTCCTGCTGCCTGCCTGTTTTGTCTAAAGAATAAGCTTGGGAGGCAGGGGCTGTCTCTTCCCATCCACTTGCATACTGCAGAGCACAATAGGGTTGTGATTTCAATGGGGCTTAGGGGTGCTGCTGTAATACTGTTAACTGCTGCTAAAATAATAATAGATCACATGGTGGTTAAATGCTGTTGGCTGTCGGTAAGAGATAACATTTAGCACTAATGTAGCAATATGCGTGTTCAAAGCACAGTACAAACATGGACTAATTAATGTCGTTAACATCAGATAGAGGCGTTAAATGTACCGCTGGTATGATACAGTATTATTCATGCTCTCTTCTTGCCTTTCAGACTTCAAACCCTATTGATGTAGCAGGTAGACCAGGCGCAGTCCACCATACACTGCTGCAGAAGACTCCAGGGGTAGGCAACAATATATAACCTTCCTTTCAGCTTATCTGGGTTTACAGTAAACACAGTGATTGCTCCTAAAAAAAAAGAGAGCAGCTGGTGAGCAAATTGGCCTTCTAGACTCAGAAGGTGCAGTCAGGACAAAAGTTTCTTTTTCTGGTGAGACAATAGTAGCCTCCACCAGTAATGAATACAGAGGGATGTATTGACTTCTTTAAACAAAGCCAGAGGGAAATGGGGCAGGAAACCCCTTCAAGGTCTTTCCCCTAAGCGTTGCTTGGAGAGTAGTTTTATGCGCTCCATTTCAGAACAATTATAAGGTTCAGAAAAGCACTGGCACTGTTCAGTTGCTGGCATGAAGCTGCTTTGTTTATCATAAAATTTTTCTGAGTTTGGTGCAAGGAATGAAAGAGAAGTTTTAAGCCTTCTTTAAGCCTTTTAGGTTCCATGTCACAGGGGACTTCTCTGGAACATTGCTTTCTAAATGCTTTTACTTGTTCAGAGGAAGGAAGTTCCCCACCTTTCTGTATATTGGCTAGTTCTAGAAAGACTGATTGTTTTATTTCTGCTTTTCCTATAGGTGTCAGACCCTTACAGGCCTCCAGTAAGAGTAAGTAAGGTTTGTGGGGGATTTTATATACACATATATATACACACACTTCAAATATTGTGCATATGTTTTTGAAATTTAACATGTCCAGTAGAAAATTTCACACTCGTCCTTTATGTAAAGCAAAATGCCATAGTTAGCTCTTAGCTGCTTCTGATTAGTAACGTTTAGATTGAATCCCAACCTTATTTCACATCCATTTGTGTGCATTAATAGTTCACAGTATGAAATAAGGGTCACGGAAATAAATGACTGTAAGCATGGACAGACATTCATCAGTGATCAGGTTCATGGTGGCTTAGGTCCATGTGTTTTATTTGTGCTTCTGATGTTCCCCAAAAACACCCTACAGTGAGTACCACAGCTCAGCTGAAAAACAGTAACTCGTTCAGCTGTGCCACTGTTCATCCCTGGTGATTGTTTGTCCATACCCTTTTCCCCCCCAAATGCAAGTAGCCATAATAACCACGCATGATTTAGCCTGCAGTGCAGCAGGGATGAATGAACAGGGCTCTTTTCAGAAACAGAACTGTTAACTGTTAGTTGCTTTCCCTTAAGCATGGCATACTGTTCTTTGCTGCCATTTATTTCAGTTTATGAAGGAGGGAGTGCAAGTAGGAAAGAACAAGGCAGGGATCTCAGGTCTGCTTGAGATGAGAAAGATGTCCCACATCCCACATTCTTCCTGTTTGTTTCCTTTTTAATTTAAACATCATCTGCTGCAGTACAGAAAAAAATGTTGATCATCTATTGTGCCGTTTCAGTAATCAGCCTTTCTCATTGCTTAGCTGCCTGTTTGACAGTAAGGGAAATGAAGCGTTCTATCTGATGTAGATTGCTAACGTCTAAATTAATCTAAATTCTTGCGCTTTCCATTGCAGAAACCCGGGAAGTGGTGTGCGGTTCATGTACAGATCGCCTGGCAGATCTACCATCACCAGCAAAAGATAAAGGTAATTCACACAGTTTCTGGAACAAAGCCAAGTCTTTTGGCTTACAGATTATATTTTAGTGAGTAACGAGCAGGAAGCAGTTACTGTTGGTGATTCTCAAGCTTGCCTGTATTGATTAACTAACACTTTCAATCCGTTAACATTTATTGTAGCAACCGTAAAGTTTATCTGAGGGCAAAGGAGTGGGTTGAAGGGCAACAAAATGAGCAGCAGATACTAAGTGCATAGCCAGAAAGAGACAAAGAAAGGGAGAGAGAGGGTAATTCTGCCCCAAATTCATCTTTTTTTGAAAGCCTACGTGTTTAATGTCATTTCCCTTCTGTACTAGTACCTCCTGTGGAGGAGGTAATGAAATGACAGATATGGTGAAGAACATATTATAAAACAGAAAGCAGGCGAGTAGATTGATAGTTACTGTGTTAGAGGTTGTTGAGCTTTCTGCACTGCAGTGATGATGGGCAGAGGAAGGGGATTTAAAACTCAAGAGGTAGCAGGACGTAGGTACACTGTGGTGCTGTTACAGGCTCGAAGTTCCCTGTGGCAGGCACAATAGCTGATAATGGGACTTCTATAGCGTTTATTCTTTCATAGCTCCTGCTGTAGTGTTTGTTGTCCCATTAATGAAGACTACTCAGTGCTTAAGTAGGTACACTGTAATTAGTGCCTCTACAAGTGGTATATGTCTGAATTTTTTTATAAGCAAATATATTATCTTTAAGTTATTGGGACACTTACATGACTTAGGTGCAATTTTGACCATGCTCACTTCTATAGAGGAAGGATAAAAATAGCCTCTGGAGGAGCATCATAGTTTTCTTTATCCTTCGCCCCTTGTCTGCATACTGAGCTATGCTAGCTGCAGGAAGGGCATAGTCTAGGAACATCTCTTTCCAAACTGGAGAAGCAAAACAGACGAGTCCATCACCCAGCTCTCGAGACTTCTGTCGGCAGCTTTCTGCCTGCAGAATATTTTTTGTCAGGCTGAGAGCGCCGACTGATCCTGGGGTGCAGCGTGCTCAGTGTATCATGTTGCATGCTCCACTGTGTGTGCTGAGGGGCTGAGAGCTCGCTTCAGACCTTATTCATGTGGATGAGGCAGGCAGCTGAGAGGCTGTGGAGAGAAATGACCTTACAGATGCTGTCAGAGCATGACTGCGGTACGTGACCAGAGACGCTGCTGTCACTCTCACTAACTCTCCCTGGCAGGGCTAAGCAGGAGTGAGCCTGAACTCCCTCTCTTTTTTCTCCCATAAAAAAAGGAAGTGTATAATGAGATTGTTTTTATATCATTTGACAGCAAATGCAGCTGGATCCCCACAAGCTAGAGATAGGTGGTAAACTTGACCTGTTCAGCAGACCTCCCGCCCCTGGAGTGTTTCCAGGCTTCCATTATCCACAGGATCTTGCCAGGCCTCTGTTTTCTACCACAGGTAAGGGAAGATCGTCATTTGTTGAAAAAAAAACCCACCAGTCAGTCAGTATATATAACGTGTGTCTCTACAGCTACGTATGCCTCAAAAGTTGAAGCAGGCAAGATTGGTTCAGAGGGGTGTGGAGGCACTGGTGACTGTTGTGACCAGGACTCTCGGAGGCACTGGGCTGAGCTCTGCCACCACCTCCAGTGCAGGATCCTCTGCACGTCACTGAGCTGCAGCAGTTGGCTCTTACGTTCCTGTCTGCGCAGGTGGTTCTTATGTGCCTGATTAATAGGCTATGGAGTGATTTTTAAAAGCGATTTTGACAAAACACTTGAAAATGTTTCCATTGCACAGGATTGGAAGTGGCCCTTGTCTCTTTCTTGCTTTTATGTTTTCCATGTTGTTCTTCTCAGTTCCTCCACTCACCTAGTTTCTGTTTATTTTCTGAAAACAAGGGGGTTTTGTAAAAGGGAAGCTTCAATAACAGCATTGAAAATATCACAGAAGGTGTATTTGTGAAGCGTTTGGTTTTTAAATATAAAATCCCCCTATGTGTTACAAAGTCCAACAATCTCTAAGGCTTAAAATGGCATATTGAATTAAAAAAAACCAAAGAATTAAATACAGTTTACATTGATCAATTGCTTTCCAATCTGTTGGAGAAGTAATTAATGCAATTACCAAAGTGCAGTAAGCTTTACTGTGCTGTTCTCAATGGCTCCGGCTGTGGGAGACTGCAAGTCTGACATCCTGGTTTTGGAGGCCACTGTTGATTCGTGTGGATGTCAGTCTACCAAATGTTGGTTTTGTTCTGTTCTCAGGCTTAACTTTCCCCCTAAACACTTGCCCCTTAGGCTTTTTCAGATTTTCTTTCTGTGAGATGCTAAAGTCTGCCTTGTGAATGAGCTAGATCAATTGATGAGATGTAACTTAGCTCTTTATGTATGTAATTAATTGGCAAACAATGGGATTTTCTTTCCTAACTTTACTCTGGTTTTATGGTGCAATATTACACTCTAATTCTAACTCAGTGCAGACATGGTCATATTCAGCCTTGGTTCAACCCTGTTGAAATGAATGAGGTTAGAAATGTTCTGAATTCTGTGCCCAGCATGACAGAAAAGCAAGAGATCAGGATCAAGCTGAAACCTCCGTGAGAACTGAGTTTCAAATGCGGATGTCAGATAGCCTTCAGGAACTCCACCAGTGGTTCAGTCTGTCTTTCTGCCCTTACTTGCAGATGGAAATTCTTAAACATCAAATGCACATCTCTACCACATATAATCAGTGCTGATACTAGCTGTACATCGTAGGATGCTACCTTGTATTTTGGTCTCTATAAAGGTACTTAGATAGTATAGGGCCAAGATATTTATTGCATCTGCTTGGATGCATAAGCACAGCTTATTTACAAAACCTCTGACTGTTTTCCTATGGCAGCTGTTTCCTTACCACCATCCTCAGTCTGTCCTGTCATTACAAGAATCTTGTTTCATGTATGCTTTGGCTACTGAAAGCTATATTGGGTAGAGTTTACTCTAACAGGCAGAAAAGCACCAGTCTAGTTGGTATCTTGAGCTTTTTCTCTTAAAGATGCAAGCATGGCTCGCTTTTCCATTCATAAAAGCAAGAGGGGAAGTAGTATGGAATAGAAACATTAAAGAAGGCAAATTAATAGAAAACTTTCACTAGAGATAAACAACCTTACAGCAACTTGTCTTGAGTATATTAATCACAGGAGCCATCACATGGTAAATCTAGGTAAAGAGTGCTATCAGAGTGAACAAACATTGCAGCAGTAATGTATAGATGAATAAATCTTCTACTCTGCAATATCCGAGGCATTCTTTTCACCTTATCGAACAAGCGTGCAGTTGATGTGAATCATTGGTTCTGCTGCATTGCCTAGTTACTGTGGGAGACATAAGTTATCTTAGGGCCACCTGTCTTCAGGACGGATGTTCAGCTCCCTGGCAGACGCTATATTTAATAACTACCTGACAGCCTGCAATACTGCTCGTGGCTTTCTCTGGAGGATTTTTTATTATCAGCCCGTGTAGTTGAGTTTGTAAGCCGTCTCCTTTGAAGAAATCTCCCATCCATTATACACCTTCTGAAATCTTAAAGGATTAGAAAGATGACAGTCTCCATCCGTCTTGAAGCATTGGAGCAGTCAGAATGTTTATAGATAACTCCAAGTCTCATTGCCGTGGTCTCTCTGAAGTTTCCTCAACTCATTTTCTGGCTGCTTAGGTTTGTCGTGCCCAAGCTGGTGAGGAACACGCAGTGCTGTCTCTCTCTCTGATTTTATAGTCTGCTCATGTTCTGAACACATGAGTGCATTTTACAATGACCATCTCTTAATGGGCTCTGTCACCAAGGAAGACCAGGTCAGGGACTGACCAGCACCTGCATAAAAAACTGTTTGGGCTGTGTTTGGGATGCAGTTTCTCCTGTGTGTATTAATTTCTTGCCTCCATTTCCCCCCACTTTCACTGCGACCTTCCATAGTGTTATCAGCACTGATGATACACGGTGGAAACGTGCATTTGATGTGGCTTGGAGATGAGGGGCAGGAACTTACCAGAGCAGGTCTGCCACTGGTGGGAATCATTCATATGGGCCACAAACGAGGCAGAAGTCTTTGTTTGTGGTGAAGGTGACAGGAAAGCTGGAGTGCCAGGTGGGAGAAGGATCATAATCCTCTTTTCTATAATAGAAAGTTACCTCTTGAAAGCAGTGACTGGGTAAGTGAGCTGTTAGTGAAGAGCCCATGTTCATGCCCAGTATGGGTGCTGATGTTTGCTGCAGTTGACCTGTTACTCTTCCCAGTATTAAGGGAAGTTAACTTTTTACCAACAAAATATATGAGACAAGAGCACTGAAAAGCTTTATTTAGTGTTGGTCTATTTTGTGCATGACTTCACATGTCCTCGGGAAAGTGCCGCTTCTGTCATTGTGTGGAATTACTAGTTTCTAACAAAACGAGACAGTTAATGTACAGGTATGGCAGGTCTTGCTTCCTGCAAGGGAGGCTGAAGTTGTGTTTGCATCCAGGTAGCATCTGAAAGTTATCATAGTTGTTAATTCTGCTTTGTCTGCGGTAGTGGAAGTACTGGCAGGGAGGAGACATCGAAAGGACTTTCACAGTCTAAACAGTTGGAGAGGGCTGGTCTTGCCAGTGTAATACTGGAGCCTCGGAAACATTTTGTCACACACATCTGAAACATAAATATTCAAAAGTTGATTTCAGGTGCATCCTGAAAATCATCTGTACTAATCTTAGGGGGCAAAAGCCAGGCCCATGAGGTTGCCCAAACATACTGTCATTTGCAGGCTACATCAGAGTTACTGTTTCTCCCAAAACCCTGTATCCCAGTGGCAGGAGACACCCGTGCTTTTCACACTGCAGTTGCAAGCCCATTCAGGTTCGCGTGCATCTGCCTGCAAAGGAAACAAATCTCTCATTTTCTGCTCTGAAAGGAGGGCAGAATTTTCTGCATGAGCCTGGTCCACCTTGAAATACAGGGCAGACCAGCTTGTTTCAGCCCATAATCTTGGCCCTTGCCTCTATCTAATCTAATGCAGCATGCTCGGCAGTGGTGTTCCTTTCCCACGAGGTAGCAATGCACAGTGGCAATGAGCAGTGTCTAGGAAAGGGAAAAAAAAAATACCACGGAGGGAGCCTGTAAATGCAGAGACAGATGTGAGAGCGTAGATGGAGCTCGCATGGGAGGGGCATGATTGATGTTCCCTGCGTGCCTGTCATTAACTGGTGTTTCATATAGACTCTAATCAGTCACTTCCGAGCACCTTCTGTCGGGGCCCATAACCTGGGCTGACCCTTTTTAATGTAAACACAGAGTAATGACTGAAAATGCCAGACAAAGAGATTCACTTCCTCATTGCTGCAGGTGAGCGGCAACGCTCAGTGCAAGGTCTCCTCCTGCCTCCTAGTGCCCACAGACTCCTTTAAAGGGCACTCAGAGAAATCCTGCGTGGAGCTTGCTCCCCTGGTGTTTGGGGTCTTCCCCTGCCTTTGCTGTGTTTAAATCTGGCCTGTGCCTTTGCATCTGGTTCTTGAATGTGATGGCCAGGACCTCTGTGTATGCAAGCAGTCATTTGCCACTGAACTAAAAAGGGACCTTGTTCTCACAGGTGTGACGCATCCAGCCACCACCCCTTTTGGTCCTTCACCTCACCACAGCAGTTTCCTGCCTACTAACCACTTGGCAGGTAAGTGTAAGTAAACCCTGCCTTAACCTTTATACCTCTGACCCATTCCTGGCTCTCCAGCATGGTCCTGCCTTGAGGCACTGTAACACTAGGGGAGGGAGAGGCTTAAACTGTCTCAGGAACCAGAAGCTAGCCACCCGTGCCAGCTTCCCAGCACATCCCCTCTGCTCTCCTCCAAAGGAGAGGGGCAGGATTAGCAGGCCCTGTCCTGCAAGAGAAGAGGGCATTGCAGAGCAGTCAAGTCTGTCAGTGCTGAAACACTGCACACGAGCTTAAATGTGACCCGTCGAGCCCTTGTGTGCTGCTGAACGTGCCCAAGGAAATGGGGGAAATCTATGCAAAGGTACCTCAAACAAGCCACAGCTTAAAATGGGCTCTTCCCGTACTGTTTCCCACCTATGAAAGTTGTTGGCTAGGTTGTTTAATAAAGTTCAGTGAACGGTTCCTGGCAAATAGCTGTTCTGCACATTTTGCCAGCCTTTGAGTTTCCTAATTGGCAGTAAGTAGAGCCTGATTTTCTCAAATTTCCTCATTTTAGAAGCTCACAAGCAGCTCATTGCCAATTAAAGTTCAAGCTCTGTTGATTAATGTTTTAGTAACATGCATCCAATCAGTAAATGTGGCATGCCACATGACCTAGTAGACTTTTTTCCTTTTGCAAATACCCAGATTTACATCAACTCCTGAATATTCTGACAAAATTAATTGTATCTCTACAAAGTCACTCAACTGCTTAATATCAAAGGGGAAGGGCAAGAACAGCTGTTTAAAAATAAGTAAATAAGCAAATAGCTGTTTGCTTAAAGATCCAAGCTATTTGTGGTATTTGCTTCAATATTTTAAATATAAGGATATCCATGAGGAAGTGGAGAGCGACACACCTCCCGTAAGATGGCAAGTTAAAGCCTTTACAGGGACAGTCAAAAAGCCCATGGGCAGAAGGAAATGTTGTTTAGAGATGACCAGTAGGAAAGAGAACAAGTACACTGGTACTATTTTAACCCATAGCCATCTCTGGAGTGCAGAAACCTGAGTCAGGCTATATCCACTCAGAGAGGAACCTCTTCTGATGATGGGTGCCTTTAATGGAAAAAAAAAAAAAAGAAAAGGAAGGACTTTGTATAAAGACAGGTGCCAGTAGCCAAGTAGTCAGGTACTTGACCAGGGAAGGCAGTCTTTTGCCTCAAAGGATACAGACCTCCCATCCCTTTGTCTTAGTAGCTCCTAAGACTTTGCTCTCATTTCCATGACCACTGGGATCAAGGAAGCTATTGTGAGAGAGGATTTCGGCACAAACAGGCTGAAGTTAGTTGGCGTATGGATGGATGTCCGTAGCAATTAGCTTAGGACTGTCTCTATGCACTATTACAAAGAGAGCAGAAAGTTGTAGTTGTATACAGAAACAAGAGTGAAACGATGCATCCCTTCCGTATGCTGACCGAGGAGCCTGCTGAGGTTCTTCTTTCAAGGCAGTTGCAATGCTTCTACTATTAGTACTGATAAGGAAGGAGAGTTATAGCTCAGCAGCAGCCACCCTAATTTCACCTATTAGACCTTAATTTCTAGCTCCCCTCTGACTGGCATACAAAAGTTTATTACAGCACCTGTTTGCAGAGTAAGCACTGAATCCCTTCTCCGTTTTAACATGATGGGAATTTTCTGTGCAAAGAACCTTGCAATGAGAAGGATCAGCTTAAAGTCTGGCCTAATCCTACTTGGATTCAGACCGTTAAGAAGGGGAGGGGTGCGTTTCATTCTCCAACATTCTTGGCTAAATGCCTGCTAAATCCCTGTTTGCCTTTCCAGATCCATTTAGCAGGTCAAGCACCTTCAGCGGCCTTGGGAACTTAGGCAGCAATGCCTTTGGAGGATTAGGCAGTCATGCTCTGAGTAAGTACTGGCTGGGTTACTGCAGACAAACATCCCTTCCAGAAAAGCCACATGCTAATATTTACAGCAGCTGGTGGTAGTTTTTAAAGAAGTTTAATTCCTAACCTCCATTCTCCTATCTGAAAACACTGCACCTAAGATTTCCAGGTCTCTGCGGTGGGAGCTTTCTGCATGTCACAGACATCGCTAGCTGTGCTCTGTGTCTCCTCACTGCTGAAGGTTGGTACCTTGTGTGCTCCTAGAGGTGCTAGAGCTGCAGGACCCCACTGAGCTCTGGGACCCTATGGGCATCTGAAGTAACACCCTTCAACAGCGAAGATGCATAGTGGAACACCTGTTGATACTTCTCCTAATTCAGCATGTAGATTTCCTCTGTAACCGTTGTCTGAAGTTTAAATTACCTATATAAAGTTATTTTACTTCAAAAACATGTTACCTGTAGGCAAGACATGCTTGAGAGCCACACATGAGAGAGCATGCTTTTGCATCTCATGGTGCAACAGGAATCAGCTGAAGATTGATGGAGGAAAATCAAGTGACTGTTCTGAAAAGCCTACAACCAAGCTATTTTTACACACACACACACATACCATCAAATAGTCTGGTTTCTTTAACAAAAAAGTCCCTGAGTACTCAGCTGCAGGCAGCTGATTGCTTGTAACTACCCACAAATTAAACTTTCTGCCAGTGAGAGGAGCTGAGGAAAAATACTGCTTTTGTGCTGGAACTCTTGCTGGGGTGGGGGGAGAAGAGGAGCTGGGCATTGTCAGTCATCTCTGAGTTATTCAGATGTATACTTAATGCTTCCTCCACCGATAGCCTTAAAAGAGCTGGTGGATCTTACACCCAGTGTTGGAGGTATCTGCGTCCCCCTGCTAGTAGCTCCCTCTCACCATTAGCTCCACATTAAAAAGTCTTGAAAGGACAGCTCTGGTTGTGAATAGCATTGTAAAAAATGTCTGTGTAATTATTTGGTTTGAATTATTTTTAACTCTTCCTCCTCCTGCCATTATTCTAGCTCACAACAACATTTTTACTCACAAAGATGGCCCAAACCTGCAGAATTTCAATAATCCCCACGAGCCATGGAATAGACTCCACAGGACCCCACCGTCCTTCCCAACACCTCCACAGTGGCCCAAGCCCACCGATTCTGAGCGAAGCTCCTCAGTGACAAACCATGACAGAGACAGAGAGCGGGAGCGAGAGCCTGAGAAGAGGGATCTTTCTCTGAGTAAAGACGACAGAGACAAAGAGAGGTAAGCAGCATGTGCTTTTGAGCACTTTCTTCTAGGCCTATTTTTCTTCTATATTTTTTTCTAATTTTTTCTGATTGTAGAATACTCTTCAGAGCAAAACATTGCTTGTCTTTGAAGCAGTTCATAGGCCTCTCCCTCAGATAAATACAAGTACTGCTAACACAAAAAAAACCTCCTTGCCTTTTAGGATTTGTCCTCTGTGGAAATACGGTAAGCCAGTCCCCATTAATAAGTTAATAAAAAACACCAGGCTAAGGAAGTGAGCGTGTAGCTGTGTTTTCAGGGTATATTTGTCTATTTTCAGTGCAGCTACTTTAGGATTGCTGTATATTCTGAAGTCATGAAGGTAGCATTGTGATGGGTCCTTTGGAGATAGTCATGGTTCTCGTTAATGTACAGATATGCTGATGAATTCAAATGTTAGCTGGACATTAATGAGATAAAAATGCAAATGCGTGTATCTGGAGCAGTGTGCATGAATCTATTAGAAAAACTGATTTTCAAAAATTGCATTGTAGCAAACCCTTATTAGCGATGACAGGACTGTATCACCTGCGCTGTAGATACTTCATTAGCTTCCAGTTACATGATTTTGAAGCTGTAAAGCCCTTCTTATTTCAGAGCCTGGTTGTCTCCAACAGGCTACTTCTTTGTAGGCAATAACAGCCTGCAAGTCTTAGAGGTGTGTATTTGACTAGTGATAGGGAGTTCATAGTTTCCCTGGAGTGCTTTTAATGAGATCTTCAGGCAGTGCCTGTGAACAAGATTATATGGAAGCAATAGGCTGAAAAACATCTTGCTTTAAATGTTAAATTGTCTGACACCCTTGCATGGATAGTCCTTCATGGAATAGGGAAGGGATAGAAGGGATAGGAAGGGATAGGAAGATCCCTTCTTGGCTTTAGTGTAATTCATTTGGAAGAGTGTTCACACAGGGGTTAACATCTCTATTACATTTCTATTAATTCAGCTTAAGCTGTCCCCAGCATCCCTGTTTGGACATGGTTTTAATAAACCACGTCCTTGACCAGCAATTAGGACTACCTCAGAGGAAGAAATCTGGGTTAGCAAATGTAATCATAAGGGATAAATACTTACAGAACTCTCCAAAACACCTCCAGCTTTCAGCACTCAGGTCTTAGAGCTCTCGAAAGCAAACCCAGCATAAAATTTAGGCATCGGTGAGCCTCTCAGCTACATAATGCGGTTCTCAATCACACTCATACTTTGCATTTAAAGTGTCTCTCATTCAGAGCAAAGTGCTTTTAAAAGGTGAGTATTATTTATTCCCCTCTTAAAGAGGTGGGATTAACTGTGACTAATTGGCTTGCTCAGAGATAGAGGTGCAGTTAGAAATGTAAGCCCTCCTGCCTCTCTTTCTAAACCATGGACATTGTTCATCATAGCAGGTCCTCTTGAAACAGAGATCGATGACACAGTTTCATGGCCCATTCGAGATTTTTTTCTTACGCACCTAGCTTACCTGCCAAAACTGCCAACAACAAAAACTCCCGCGGCTCTGTAGGAAAATAAGCATCGTGTTATGGCTGCTTCCAGTTGACAAGGGTGTCTTGTGAAGGACCTGCATGCATTTCTGTAGGCTGCTGTTTTGTGTGCCTGGATCCATGTTTTAGGAAATGAACCTGAGTTAAGAGTGTTACAGCCAACAAGATCATTGTCTGGCAGCAAGATGTATAGATGAACACCCAATAAGCATCTTTTTAAAAAAAACGAAGCTGTCTAGAATTCT